TTTAATTAAATTCTGTCACGTACGCTAAAATAAGGTGAAAATTTATGTAGGCATAAAGTAAGGAGCTGTAATTGGGTTACTTATTCCTTTCCAAAATGATTAAAATACAATATGCAATGCAAAAAAAAAAAGTCATGGAACATTAGAGCTGAAAGTGAGCTTACAGGTCCCCTAACGCCCCCCACCTTTGTAAAGCTGCAGATCTAGGGCCCCAGTGAAATGACTTTCCAATGTCCCAGATCCCATCCGGAGCAGAACTAGCACCATACCCAGGTACCTAGATGTCACGTCTAGGGCACTTTCCCATTATACCATCATTCCACCTGTCATATGCAAACAGTGACAGTGTACTTCCCAGAGACATGTCTATGTGGAGACTGTCACCTTCAATTTTCCTAGCCCATGAGAGTCCAAGACTCACAGACTCATAGAGCTAGATCACTAGCTCAGGAGTTTCAACCTGATTTAATTTAGACTGTGGATGTATTTTGTTTAGCTAGCGTATTTGTTTTAAAAAGGAAAGTGAAGACGTTTTCAATGGGGTGGTGCTGTTGGATTTTACCCCAATCACTCCAGCCCTATTATCCCACTTCCAACAGCTTCATATTTTTTCTCCTTGGCCTCTCATAGCATTTGAGCCTGTTATCCCTGAATGCATAATTAACAGCACACCAAAACTAGGTGATGGAAAATGTGAAATACGACATTATGTTCTCCCAATTGCTATATTTCTGCATTACCAATAAAAACCCATTTAGGTTGTTTAGGTTAGCTAGTTATATCAGAGCTCTGCAAACTACAACCACTGAGACAAACCCAGCCCGCCTCCTATTTTTGTATGACTCCCTCCCCTAGTTGAGCTTAGAATGGTTTTTATATAAACAGTTGAAAAAATTCAAAGGAAGTATACTATTTCGTGACATGTGAAAATTATGTGAAATTAACATTTCAATGTTAATAAAGTTACATCAGAATGTAGCCACTCTCATTTAATATATGTATTACCTATGGCTGCTTTCTCATCACAATGGCAGTTCAGTAATTGCCACAGTGACTGCACGGCCCGCAAAGCCTAAAATATGGCCCTTTACAAAAGAGGTCTGCAGACTCTGAGCTACATCAAAGAAAATATAAAGCTATCAATTAACTGCTGAAAAGTCACAAACATTTCTGTGGAATTGCTAATGCCTTACATAGCACTCTCAGATGAATCTTCCTAAAAAAAACAGCTCAAACTATGCCTCCCTCCCACCAAAAACGTTTTTAATACTCCCTGCATATAAAGTCTGAAGTATTTAACAGGTCCTACGTGGTCAAGACCTCAACTTGCCATTCCAACCTCATCTCCCAAACCTCCCTTCCTGCACCCCATATTCCAGAAGACTTAAATTATTGCTATCCCTTTACATTCTGTCATTCCTACTACAATAAATGTCCTGCCCTAAAAACAGTGCAATGGGGTAAAAAAAAAAAGCAGTGCCTTTAGAATTAGGTCTGGGTGCTAATTCACTCATGCCCTTGTTAGTTGAGAAAGTCACTGACAGCCTCTAAGCTGCAGTTTTCTCATCTACAAAATGAGAATAATAATCTTCACCTCTTGAGGCTGTTACAAGGTTTTAATGCCTGGCACATGGGAACAGCTAAACAAGTGGTAAGTGTTATTAATTCTGCCCAATTCCAATGCCCCTTCTTCTTTAGCTTTTCCTTGTCCCCCCACTGGGAAATGAGCTCTCCCTCCAACGTCACACACCGTGGTATCCATCTGTCCCACTCATACAGCTCTGATCCTTACCTACTACCTTATGTGACACTGGCAATCCCAACCTAGATCATGTTTGAGAACTCCTGGAGGGCAGGATCCATCTGTGATTCATTCGGTCACATGTGTGACAGCCCTGGACCCGATGACTTGAATGTAGCATGTGCACAAGAATTTCCTGAATGAATGGCATGTGTTCATTGAACCATATATAACACGCACTAGGTGTATCACGTGGGGATGGAAGCAGGGGCCACACTGCTTGCACTGAACAATACCTAGTCTGAGTGCTTAGTAAATAGTCCAAGCACACCAGGGACCAACACTGCCACCCTGAAAACAAAGAACAAGCAGAGAGATGGGCAGTACATTCAGCTTTCCGGGTGCCGGTGCCTTTATTTGCCGTTAGTTTAAGTTATCATCTTCTTCTTGTACTCCCAACAATTATAAACGGATGACATTTAATGGGGGGAATCAACCCCTTCCCCAAGGGAGATGTGCTGATGATCATTCATAACATCAGTTACCTCTGAGCACAGATCTAAGTAAACCTAAGTATTCGAACAGGACCTACACGTAAGAAATTAAGTAGCACACACAGTTGTGACTAGCACCTCACCTAGAGCTCTGTACAAAATCGGTCACAAGCAGAAGAAATATAAGGATCAAGTCCCAGCAAGGCTATAGCTGTCACAAAAACTGCAGCGGGGTTGTAGCACGATACACATTTCATTAGTTCCTAGAAGCACTAGCCATTTGATTCGCTGGTCAATTTAATAAGTCAAAGAGGTGTCAATCATTCTTCCTGATTTTTATTGCCAGACTCCAAATGCCAAAATGAATCCACACACATGAATACAAAACGAACTGCTGAGACATGCCAATGGAGGGAGCGACATTTTCCAACAAGATGACAGCAGAAAATCTGTTTCCAACTCCGTCTGCTTATGCATTTCCCTTCAGAAACCTACTGACAAGTACACATTCACCTGCACATATATTATTAACCTGAAGACGGATTACCAACAATTTACAATGTTTAGCTGTCTCCATTTACAAAGCACTTTCATAATCCATTCACTCATTTGTGCCTCACAACAACCCTGTGAGGTGGGTAGCATTACCCCCGTTTGACAGATGAAGTGAGTGATATGTGCTATCTTATCCCAAAATGGTGACGCCCAGATTGTAACCCAGGTCTCAGAAAACCAATTCCCAGTGTTCTCTTCTTTCTTCCTCCACACAAAGTAAGAGCCTACTTTCTTTTCCTCCCACCCCACTTACCCTCGAGAAGCCGCCCAGCTAGCACAGTGTGAGGAAGCAGAGTGGGAGTATAAACATTTCTGTGGTCAAGACACTGGGACACATCCCGCCTCTGCCTCTTGCTAATCGTGTCTTTAGAGTCATGCAACTTAAAGGAAAGAAATGGGATTATGGGTTAGCCACTGGGACTTATTTCCTACCTGTCCTATTTTGGGCTTTCTGTGTAGACTCAGAAACAGAAAATCACCATAAATATCAAGAAGCCCTCTGGGCCAAAATACCTCTTGGATCTTTTGCCCATATGCAAAGGTCTGTGGGCCCGCATAATTGTTCTGTCTCAGAAGAGGAGGAAAGAATACAAACCACAACTTGCCCCAGCTTACAAAACTTTTGCCCTTCCTCCACTGTTTTATTGAACTGTTTGTTTTTCCTTACGAATCTTAATCTCTCTGATGTGCCTTAGCTGGTCATTATTTTGCACAAACACTCTCAGCTTACCATAGACTTCACAAAAGCACTAAGTTTCCAGAGCTTGTGAGGGGCATCATTTGACTGTGGACACTGCACCAAGCAGTTTACTGTAATAAGTACATGAAAAGAAAACCCAAACATGCCCCTCTTCTTTGTGCAGAACCCTCACCTTTCTAACTACTTCTGCAGCACAACGGCCAGTTTTTAACCTCTCAGTGAACTCCGGTCAGTGGTGACACACCCCCAAGCCTGGCCTATATGTCCCTAAGGATGAGCATTTTGAATGCCCCATCTTGAACGTGCTGCCCAGAATTTACTCTTGCTCAGGCCACAACAGGACAAACCATTAAGTAATCAAATTCAATCAAAAGACCGGCAGGAACGTAGATGATTTATATATTATGACCAAGTAGACAGACAGCATGTGCCGGGAAAGCACAGACTCCAGGGTGCAAATCAGGGTCTGCCAGTGTCGGCCGGTAGCAGTTACCACTGCCCTGCTGCCCCCAAGCCTTTCTCCCGGCTCTCAGTTTCCTGTGTCTGCCGTAAGAAGGGCCCCACACTTGACCCTGACAGTATTGTAGGGATAAATCCACTTAGAACAAAGTTATATGGGGCTTGTTTGCCAGTGAGTCTGACTTTATTTTTCACAATCATCTTTAAGCCAAGAAAAGAAAAAAAAATTTAATGATCACTCCACCCAATTACTATGGTCCATTCTTCTGGGTATATACTTTGGCACACAGGGTTGGTTTGCCTGCACTCTTGTTGAGGATGTTTATTATTCTTCCTCTCACTCCAAGCCTTCTGCCAACTAGCAGAAATAAAAACTCCACACACAGTAGGGAAGGCGGGGGAAGAGTCCCACAGCTGTCAGCTGTGACCACTGGGAAAGCCAAGCTAGGTGAGGTTCCCTCTGTCCTGTGGCTCCCAACTCTAGCCCTGCAATTTTCTCCCTGGGGGCTGGGCTCCTTGTGCCAGGGACCAAGCAGGGCCTTGTTCCATCCTCAAGCAGAATTCAGTGGCATGTGAGGCCCCCAATAATGCTGAGCTTAGACTGACCTTAACCTAAACCATAGCTCAGTAACTTAAAGGGAAAAACATCACTGGGGCAAAGGTGCTTTCCTTAGAAAATAACTTGCCGTGGGGAGCAATTTACTGCCCCCACACTTATCATCTGTAGCAACCAGAGGCTGGGACAACACCATTACTCAAGCTGCTGGCCTTAATTCCCAAGTCTTTAGGAGGTGCTCGGGCGGTTCCTCTGTCAGCTTGGATGTGCCCTTGCCGCAGACATGGGCACTAAACACATCTGACAGTACAGGCAGATTATCACTCTGGAAAACAATGTGCTAAGTAAGGATCACTGCAGAGAAAGAGGGTCCCTGACCCAGCTACAGGTCCTGTCTTACAAGGTCAAGGCCACTAAAGGGAAAGGCCCAAAGTTCTACACTCCCTCCCCCCTGGCACAGATTAGGGAAACACCTCATGGAAGCCTTCCACTTACTTTTCATTGCACTGATAAGCGCGTTGCCGTCTTTGATCACGTCCTTGATGAACTTGTTGGTCCTCTCCAGCTCCAGCTCATAACACTTGAGCCTCTCACGGAAATTGGGGCTGTCCAGGTAGCAGTCGCTGAACTCCAGAGGGGGATGCCCCATGGTTCTGATGGTGGGGTTTGGAAGGAGAACGGAAAGACACAAAGACAAGAGCATCAATCAGGAGGGAGAGTAGATGGGATGGACTGAGGGCGCGACCTGCTTAGGAAGCTCGCAGACGCCTTCCCTTTGGAGGACAGGTACCTGTTCTGATGAGATTCCTGGGGAGAGCTGGCTGGTCTGTACCGGAAACCGGTGGCCCGGCGATTGCTTCAGGTGTCTGGGAGAGCTAACTAACGCAGACGGATCCCAGCAGGGTGCTGCCTAGCAAGCAGCATGCCCCCTAGGCATCGCTTCCCCAGACGGGCAGCAGAAACCGCAGCCCGGCTCGCCTCTGGAGACCGGCCGGATCCTTCCAGAGCAATTGCAAACGTGACACTTCGGCCCGCCCAGGGTGTAGGCGGGGGTGAGCGCTGGGGATGGGAGCCGCCTCTCCGCGCTCCTCGCTCTCCTCTCCGGAGCTAGCAGATTTCCTTTGCCGAACTCCGCGGGCAACCCTGACTGCACCGTCCCCTCCCCCTTCTTAAAGCCAGCGCCTCTGCCCCGCCCCAGCCAAGCCCTGGTACCGAGCCCGAGCGCTCGGGCTCCTTCAACTGTGTGCCTTGCACCCTAGGGTTTTGTTACCAGAGTCCTCCGGCTCCCAAGACTTCTTCCTGGTCCCTGGGAGCCGGCCTGCTGTCCTGTTAGGCGACGGAAGGGTTAAGCCGAGGCGGCAAGGAAATGTAGCCTTGCTCCATAGACACCCGAGCGGGAAGAGAAGGGCGAGCGCGACGCACAATAGCCGCGGTGGCCCGGCGCTTCCCTACGGAAACTGGGGAGCAGTCGGCGCCCTAGGACTCCAGCTGGAAAGCGTGGCGGCCTGGGAGATGTAGTCTTTTCGTTTCACGCCCCGTGACTCCTCCCTGCGATCTCCCGACCACCCCGCCAGGGCGGCCGCTCAACCAGAAAGGCATTCCTTGCTTGCCCCAGGCTCACTGGCCTGGCACAGACTCGAGGGGCAGGTGCGCCCGCGCTGGAAAGTCTACGTGGAAAGTTTCGGAAACTGGAGCCAGAACCCGGGACAAGATTGTGGGAGGCAATCTCTCACTTCCCATTATTTGGCTGGGTTGTTTATTAAGATTGTTTATTATCCTGCTCTTAGGATCTCTATGTTAAGCTCAGAATCCCCTGCCAAAAAAGAGATGCTGTAATTAGGAGTTCCCCTTTTCCTGAATGGGACCTCAAAGCGTAGTTTTTGTGACCCGACTCATTGCATAGGCTGTTGATGAAGGCACGTGATTTTCCATGTGTGAGTGGAAAACCTAAGACAAGGATGTTACTAATTGTCTTGCAGCTTAACTAAGAGGCCTCTTGTCCACCGTCTTTTGCAGGAGAACTGGAGTGCTCTTACAGGTGGTTCCTTGAGATTAAGGGTAACCAGGGACTAGAAAATAGTGTGTGCATGGGCAAAAAGATCTGTTTTGATATGAGACAGGTATTTAAGATGAGAGTGTCCCCTGAAGAAACTTAAAAGCCAGAACTGAAGGGGGTTGTCAAGAGAGTAATAATGGCTAATTCACTGTATTAGTGTCCTATGGCTGCTGTAACACATTATCACCAACTTGGTGACTTAAAACAACACACACTTATTTTCTGGAAGTCAGAAATCAAAAATGGACCTCACTGGCCCAACATCCAGATGTCACAAGGGCTGTGTTCCCTTCTGGAGGCTATGGGGTGAATCTCTGCTCTTGCCTTGGCCAGTCTTCTAGAAGCCATCCAACCCCTTGGATCACAGTCCCCTTCCTCAGCCTTCAAAGCCAGCAATGGCTGATCAAGTCTTCTTCCCACTGCATCACTCCGACACCAACTCTCCTGCCTCCTTCTTTCACTTACAGGGACCCACCAAATAACCCAGGATAATCTCCCCATCTCAAGATCCTTCATTTCATCGCATCTGCAAAGGCTCTTTTGCCATGTAAGGCAACAGTTTCACAGGTTCCAAGGATTAGGGCATGGCATCTTTTGGAGGGAACATTCTTCTACCTTTCACACAACCTGTAATCCTACAACCCACCTCCACAACCCTTAAAACAATCCTATGAGGTTACTATTATTATTGTGCCTATTTAAAGATGAGCTAGTTGAGTCTAAGAGAAGTTAAGTGACTTACCCAAAGACACACAGCCAGTTCAGTGACAGTGCTTGTGCTTGAGCCTGGCCTGGTTGGTTCTGGAGACACTGCTCTTAATCACTACATTAGATGGCAGTATGGTAGAGTCCAAAGAGGAAACAACCTCAGAAAAGGAATAAGCAGCCACATCCCAGGGAAGGATTTCCTACTCTTTTTATCTTATTTTACCTTTGTTTCCTACTCTTTTTATCTTTACATGAAAATGTCCAAAATGGGCTTTAAAAGCACCAACACAGGTACTAAGGGAAGATACCTAATGAATAGGTGTATGGTCTTTCATTCTAGCAAGGTTCCCTGCAGCATTCATTCAATAATTTCACAAGCATTTATTGAACATCTGCTATATGCTGTCATTTATGGAGCCTATACCTCTATTTTCATCACTATGAATACCACCATTGACATGACTGATGTTAGGTACAATCATGCTCATCTAACTTCCTATACTCAAAGTGTCTTACAGTCATCTGTTATCCTTTATCTGGACAGTGAAACTAAAGTGCAGAGGGAAACAAATGCCCTAGACCAAATATCAAAGAAGCAAGACGGTTAATACTAGAAGAACCCAGTCCATCAGAGACTAGCTGCATCAATCGCATATCCTAGATGCTTTGTACACATTATACCCTCACTAAAACCCAATAGGATTGGGGTCTTCAATTTTTTATTCACATAATCCCTAAAATAATTTTGGGAAGCTACGTACTCAATCACACATTTTTAGGTTGACACCTATATTTTTTCATCATGTATAAATAGTTGCAAAGGGTGTCATTTCTGGCATACTATACATATTGACAATTTAAAATACAATAAAACTGTTATATTACACTTTTAAAGATTTTCATTGGATTTTCCATCACACATTAACCACAAAGCACAACAAAGGTGTAAACTTCTCTTTAGCCTTCAGAAAATGTACATTGTTTCTTTTTTCTTCATTGAAATCAAATGTCCATTGCAATAGCAGTGTGATAGGCCATGGCAGACACTGAGGTGCAGCCCGCTCCCAACAATCTTTCAGTAGGTGAATGGATAAATAAACTGCGGTCCATCCAGATAATGGAATATTCTTCAGCACTAAAAAGAAATAAGCTATCAAAGTCATACAAAGACAAGAGGGAACCTTAAATGCACATATTACTAAGTGAAGGAATCCAATCTGAGAAGGCTATGTACTGTATGGTGCCAACTGTATGATATTCTGGAAAAGATAAAACTATGAAGACAGTGAAAACAGAGTGGTTGTCAAGGAGTGGGGAGCGAGGGAAAGAGATGAATAGGTAGAGTACAAGAGGATGTTTAGGGCAGTGAAACTACTCTGTATGGTACTCTAATGGTGGAGACATGTCCACACATTTGTCCAAACCCATAGAAGGTACAACACCAAGAGTGAACCCTGATGTAAACTATGGACTCTGGGTGATGGTGACATGTCATTGTAGGATCATCAACTGTAAGAAATGTGCCACTCTGGTGAGAGAGATGGTGACAATGAGGGAAGCTATGCATGTGGTGGATGGGGTGTGGGGGCAGGGGTAAATGGGAAATCTCTGTACTTCCCTCTCAGTGTTGCTGTGGCCCTGAAACTACTCTAAAAAATAAAGTTTTTTAAAAACGTTTATGGAAAATAGGAAAAAAAAGGAAAAACATAATAAAGACAAAAATTAAAAATATTCAGGGAGACAAAGCCCATCTCCCCCGTTTCTTGTATGTCTAGGTAACACCACCTCCACCGTCTTAATACAGGACAGTATTTCTTTCCTAAGCAATCACTCCATAGTTCAGCTGTGATGCTGTGAGAAGAATATTAGGCTTGGAGCAATACAGGTAATACAGACTTGAAGCTCTGTGACCTTGAACAAGTCATGTAAACTCTCCAGGGAATATATTCTTCAGCAATTTTTCTAAGGATGAACTATAGATAACGCATGTGCAAGTGCCGTAATAACTGCTCAGTAAATGTTGGTTGCTTTTTTCATTGTTCTTTTTCTGGTCACAGCCCCAGAGGCACAGAGGAGTCAGATTGCTCACAGTGTAAGTCCTAGAAAAGCATTCTATTTACATAACAATACAACTTTCCCTGTTTGTTATCGTCACAGGAAAATAAAAAGCCACCGTCAGAAGAATTTACATTTCAACTCACAAAGAAGCTCTAGCTTGGTGTGTGGCCTGGTGAATATGCAAGCTCAACTTTCAGGACACCCAAAGGGGTCTGCAACCGAAGCTCCTTCTCAGGGCAAGAACCAAAAGCTGAAATCCTGCAGTTGGTCATGCTAGTGGATTACTCTACTCCAAGGTGGAATTGCAGGACAGCTGGTCATGCTAGTGGATTACTCTACTCCAAGGTGGAATTGCAGGACAGCTGGAAGTCTCGACACTCTTCAGCTCGGGTCACCGGGGACAGGAGCTTCTCAGCTTGCTGGGTCTGTCTGTCTATCCTTCAAGCTGGAGTGAGAAGCATAATCCTTTAACCTAATGAAGCAGGTAAGCCTGCTATAAATGTCAAATTGCTTTCACAACTTGAAGGCTATAGAGAGGAAAAGTAAAGAAACCAGATGTTACAGATTTTTAGGAAATGCAATGTATCTGCCCAAGAAAACCAAATAAATATTCACTATTGACTTAACATGTCAGCCTCTGCTTTCTCTCTCCCATCTGGGACCACAGCTAGCCTCATGAAAATAATTTCTTTACAGTGTTTATTAGTCATTTGCTCCTCTCCACATATTAATATTTATATTCAGTCCTCTTAAAGACGGATGGAGAGCCTGGAAAGAAAGGCAATTTTCCAAGTGAACTTTGTTAGGGCTCAGGTAATGTATGAGATGTGTTTTAAAAGAGTTCTATCTTAAAGATACAAAGCAATATTTTATAACCCCTGTGCTTCTTATAAAGAATCCTAAAGCTCTTTGTCCTAAAATGTTACAATTGTTCTTTCACAAAATGGTAGAAAAGATAGATGTTAACGAGCCTCTATCAGTAAGAAGAGAAACTTGGCGGGGAAGTAGGGGCGAGAACAGGAGGGAGGGGGACAGCTTAGGTTGACGACTTTCTCGTATGCCAGGCACTGTATATAAATGATCTCATTTACTTTACACAACAACTCTATGAGGAAGGTTCTACTGTCACCTTCATTTTACAGATAAGGCAACTGAAAGTCAGAGAAATTAAACTATTTGGCCAGGATCACCCAGAAAACAAGTAATGTACCAGGGATTTAAATCCAGGTCTGAATCTGAAGCCATTTTCTTTTTGCCATTGTATCACAATGCTTTCCAATCGAATACATCAATATCTAATCTCCATTCCCTCCTGCTTACGTGACTGGAGGTACTTAGTACTGTCATCTGAAAAAAAAAAATCCAGGGTCATTTGTTGGTAACTGTAGCAAATGACTTGAAATTATCCCAGGTTTTAGAATTAACAAAGGCTTTATGTTGAACTTCTCTGAAAAGCTAGTTGAAAGATCTGGCGCCCATGCTACATATGCCCAACCCTCTAGAATTTCCAAACCCAATCTTGGCTCTGGCCCATTCTCTGCTTTAACTGCACTTGGCCTAGTTTCTTTCCTTAGCTTAAGCCAAGATTTTAGGAGCTCTAAGTGGCAAATGGTTGAAGAAAGGGAAAATCCTTTGCCACAGTTCTCCATACATCCAACTCTCCACTTACACCCCTCTCCCTTCAAGACTCCCCTTAA